ATGTGTTTACAAAAAAGAATTGTAACGGATAGTGTTTTGATATTGATAAGTGTTTTTTATTTATTTTTTGATAAATAAATTTTATTCATTTTTAATCATTTAGTTATTTATTTTCTGTAATTTTACTTAATATATAAGACAAATTTGGGGAAAACTAATAAATGAGAACACATGTATTAAATATGATGAGTTGATGATTTTTTTATTTCACAATCAATTATATCCTAACTCTTCTCTTTATTCTTCAATCAAATCTCTCAAATTTTCATATTTCATTATTTTTTCTATATGCTTTATTTTCCTTAATATTGGATTATCTATTGTTATTTGGTTATTCTTTACATCTAATTCCAAATCTTTTCTTCTAATCTCCAAATTTTTCCATTATAAATTTACTTCATTTGATTTTTAAATATTTTTCTTGTATTTGAAATATAGATTTCCAACTATTCTATTAATTTTATATTCCATTTATAGTTTTTTTATATTAGTAAAGTAGCAAGTTGTAAATTTAATGTAATAATAGTTCTTAGTTAGTTAATAGATGTTTTTCTTTTAAAATTATAATAATTCATTTAGTAATAAAATTTAAACATTTTTAAAAAATTATTATTTATTCATGAATTCGAATCAAATTTTGATTATTTAGTGTTTAAAATTTTGCGGTAATGCCGGTACCGTAATTCGAACCGTAATTGACCGTCGGTTTCGCCGGAACCGTGCTGAACCAAAACTTACCCCAGCAAGCCTAGCCGACTCCCACGCACCCACTTAATTCTACCACTTCTCTCAGTGCCGAACCGAAACCGGACCGAAAACCGAGTCAAGGGGTCGGGTCCGGTTCAAAATTTTAAACATCTCGAAACCGGACTGTTCAGTGAACCGGAACGACGTCGGTTTCACTGACCGGCCATGCCTAGGTGTAAGAGAGGCATCTTCTTTCTGAAAGAGTATTGTCTTGACTAACTTGAAGGACTGGAAAGTTGGGTGCCAAGCCATTGCAGTGCTTCCAATGACTCCTAATTTGCAACTTCAATTGATGGTGAGTTATTTGATGATCCTGAGATGTATAGAAGGTATAGTGGCAAATGAAATTTATGCTTACCATAACACGTCCAGATATTGCTTACTCTGTGAGCGGCTTAAGCCAGTTTATTGGCTTCTCTTACTGTTAATCCATTGGGGAGCTTTTAGGACGAGATTTTGTTGCTACTTGAAAGGTACTCCAAGGCGTGTCTGCTTGTATAGTATCATAGGCAAATTGAACATTGAATGTTTTCAGATGCGATTGGGCAAGTTCGAGTTGATAGAAGATCAAACTTCAGGGATATTGTGGTCTTTGAAGGTGGAAACCTAATATCGTGGAAACGGAGCAAGAAAAACAAAATGTAGTCTCACATCAAGTGCTGAATCAGAATATCGAGCTATCGGCACAATCTGCTTGTGAGTTAATTTTTGGATTCGTCAGTTGTTGAGGAAATTGGCTTCAAAGTCATTCTTTGCCTCAAGTTATGTGTGATAATCAGCTCCTCTTTCACATTGCATCAAAATCCAGTATTCATGAACGAACAAAACATATCAAGATTTGATTGTCATTTACATTCGTGAAAAATATACAAACAGGGTGTTTATCTCTACAGGGAACGGGTTTAAACAAACGTGAACAGTTAATTAGGAGATATTCTTACAAAAGCTTCTAAATGACCTTCGGGTTAACTATCTTTGTAACAAGTTTTTTTTTGGGGGGGGGCCCATTTTTTGATTTTTTAAAAGTTAAAAATTTTTTTTAATGGGCCTTTCCCAAAAAACTTTGGGGAGGGAGGGGGAAGTTTTTGGTTTTAAAGGGGGGGGAATTTAAAAGTGGTAAATAGAAACTCTATTAGGCAGTTAGATTTTCTAATAGGTTTATAGTATCTGGTATGTGTATATAGTATGTGTCCCTATGATGAATCAAATATATTTCTAATAGGTTTATAGTATCTTGTATGTGTATATATATGTGTCCCTATTGATGAATCAAATATAAGAAAATATTTTTCCCCATTAAATTTACATATTTCATATATCTCATCAATGGATTACATAGGTTTATATACAAGGAATTCCTAGGTTATCTAGGCTATTTAGGAATACAATTCATAAACTAATTAGGAATATACTTAGGAACTAATTAGGAATACTTGTACTATATTGGTTTCCCTTAACAAATATTAACTTATTTTCCCCAATATTAATATCAACTTATTTGCTGAGAGAGAATTCTAGGGTCATGTGGATGTAAGTCTTATAGTTTCTCAACAACAAAAAAAAGGTATATTTTTCTGTCATATTGGGTCCAGCAATTCGATTTCAACACCTTACATGGCACAAGCAAGACATTAAACTAGAAAGAAATTGAAAATAAAAGAAATGAAATATAAAACCTACATTTATTAATAAACATGATATTGAACTTATATTACCAATCACGATTCAGAGTTCATCCTTCATATGCTAGAAAAATTGAGCAATTTATTTATCTTGCTAAAGAATACAATTAAAACTGAAAATTTGTGCACTTTTTCTGCACACATTGATTATTGCTTTGCAAACTTCATTGAGAAGTGCATTTGTTGCTGCTCTTTATGAGAGCGCATGAAAGTTCAAAGCAGTTGAGAAGTGCCTTCTCAACTCAATAGGCTATTCATTGCAATGGAGATCATTGCTGCTCAAATTTTGATTGCATGATCAGATAACGATGAGAATGTGTAACAAGGACTTTTAAGATATTGAGAAAAACTAATACAGAACAGAACAGAAGATGCTACGTTACTAAGAAACAGAGGTGTTTTATGAGAAATCAACGGGAAATTTGCAATATGATATAAAATGATAGGAAATCTGCGCAAAGAATAAGATGAATAAACCCTAAAAATTCCACATCATATTCATTTCCAAATAAAGCATTATTACCCTATTGATAATGTTCTCTTAACTACCAAGTCTTCTAGTAGAATGGAAGGCAGCCGGCTAGATGACTGCACAATTTAGAACATACCAGATATGCTGGACTCAACTAGTCTAAATTCCAAAGACACAACCTTGAATACGCAGCTCAAGACATACCCATGTCCAACATATGAACAGGCAGTGGGTAAATAATACAGGTGATTACTATAATTTTGAGGTTATTTCTAAATTAAATATAAACTTTTTTTTTTTTTTTTTTACATTTGAGATTTTGCAGCAAAAATAAGCTGAAAACACTGATATTGACAATTGTCTCACTCATATAATGAGTAAGCAAACACACAAAATAAAGAAAGCACCTCTTATGAACTTGAAATCAATTTAAATGGGTTAACTAGCTATTCATGTCAACTATCTAGGCGAGCAATTTGCTGGAAAATCTCAAACGTGATCAAATTGCTTCAAAAAAAATTGAAGTTTAAAGACTCATCTGAAAGAAATTAACCTTTTGCAATCAAATCAGAAACAAACTCAAAGTTTACTGATGTTCAACATCATATACCCTACATGCAGTTTTTCATTAATATTACCTTTCAACTGGTGGATCATATTCACATTCTTATGTTCCTTAAATGTTGTTGTGTCCAAGTGAAGTGCACCAGGTGAAGTGAAAGTCAGAGAATCAGAGTTGTGAATGATATGTAGTATGCATTATATAATGAGAATAGAAAGACATCACATACGAACTTGGGACTCATACTATTTGAGGTAAGAAATAACTAACATGTTAAAGATAGCATTCTTTAAATGTCCAACATTAAAACAATTAACACTTAGTCCATACTTCAGCCGGGTAAACCAATGGAATAGCCCCAAGATGAAACAGAAGACAGTCAAAGCATTCCTGACTCTTCCATCAAGGAGAGAGGGGAAAGGAAAGGTTGCTGATTTCTAATTCACTCTATTTGAACAACTCTCATTTTTTAATTTCAGTCGGTTCCATTAGTAGAATTTCAATACAAATTTCATAATAAAATCATGTGTTTGGAATAAATTTTTAAGCGATAAATCAATTTGAATTCCATTATTTGGAACAACTGAAAAGTAAAATATAGCTATTAGCTTTCTAATTTTACCCACAGTTAGGAAGAGAGAAATTTATTTTAAATTGGATATTTTGGGTTTCAGTCAGGGATCCTGTTCAATGGGTTGAATTATTGACAAATCAAGCCACTTTTGTCATATTGGCAGTCCTTTCAAAATGAATTAATTTTAATTTGAGAAATTTGAATTCAAGCAATCATATATTTTCCAGACATGAGAAGCGGTCAAACAGAATCCAACTAAATTGAATTTCAAACACAATCTACGAGAAAAGAGCATTCAGTATTCTCTCAACCTTAGTCCGTTATCTTGATTGGATAACTTCTAGTGCAATGGCCTAATTGCCTGCGGCAACATTATATCTCCCTTCAGAAGCTAAACTAGAGCAGCAGAAGAATAAAGACTCTTATCTAGCAAATTAACTCTTTTTTATAACATGGATCACAATACCAGGAGGTTTTTTCAACAAAAAAAATAGAAGAGAACTGGGATAAAGAAGTACACCAGAGATGGAAAAGGAAGCATGACCATTATGCCACTAAAGAAGATATTAGCTATTCATTTATTCAGTGGCCAGACTGATGACTATCTAAAACGTAAAACAAAAGGTTATACTTAATCCAATCCCAAACATTGGGTGGAGTCATAATAGACTTCAATGGAGCGGATTTATACATCTAGTTGTATATTTCAGATTCAGAATCCAGCATCAAATCGCAGATTCTTTTGCTTTCCAATAATCTCAGACTTATATAGCTGGAAGATTAGAACATTATTCCAAACCAAAACCTTGGTGATGCTGTCACTGAACCACAAAATACTTGTGATACAATGATGCAGTATGTTCTGAGAGTAATAGAAATTGCTTAGAATAGAATGGGTGTTCAATTGCAACAGCTAATTTAGTTCCTCCTCAAGCAAGAAACATGTAAATATGCATCAATGCATCAATCAAAGCATGACTACAATAGAAACATATGACCATCAACAGTCTTATACACCGGTTTTTAATTCCCAAAATGTTACAATAAAACAAAATCCTTAAGTTCAAAAAGTAAAAATTTTTCATGACTAATCATATATAGGGATAATTAAACTTCAACGACAAAATCCTAAATCATTATTCAAAATAATATCTATTCCACTACTCTTAATTATCTACGACAAAAGAAATCTTTCCAATAAGGTCCCATGGAACATAACGCATCCAAAACACAAAAAATTGAATGCACCAAATAAAAATTAAGCCAATGCCCACTATCACCAACCTCATTAATCATCCAATTGTTGAAGCTCAGCTTTCAATTGTTCAATCTTTAGCCCCATTGACCTCTGCAATGCAGCCTTTTCCTTCTCTGGCAATTTGCCCAATAGCCCTTCAAACATGTCCAACACTTCTCTCACTGCATCCCGAGCACACTCAGCCTCTTCGTTGAAATAAACAGTCTCCTTAGACTCCATGGCCATCTCTATCTCCTCTCTTGCTTCTGCAAACTTAAGGTTTATCATATCCACTTCTTTGTTTACATCCAACTCGGGAACTGGGTTATCTGCCGACTCAATACTGAATTTTCTCCGAGTCTTATAAGTCGAGGACCAATCGTGGAGGTTCTGGTGAAGTGAATGGGTGGAAGTATAGAGATTTGAGGTGGAAGAGTGGAGAAATTTGGGGCTCAAAGATACGAACGAGTCATGAACGAGTCGGGTTGAAATCGGTGTGAGAGATTCGAGCAAAAACGGAAATATGGGTTCTGGAGAACATTGAAAAGGGTATCTCCAAAACAGTTTGATAAGAGAAATCTGTGATCCTTTATGCATTTTCTCGGTCTTTCAATTCAATTCTTACAGTGGGCGAGGGAGAGCAAACGGTGCAAAGACCAGAGGGAAAAGCTAAAATGCTACACAACTCCCATTTTTTAGGAATATAACATGGGATGCGCCGATTGAATACTTGAAAAGGTCTGACTACACGAGGGCAGGCACGGCGACGGTTCCGGAACCCAACCGAAAATTTTCGGTTTCAGTTTTGCTTTAAAATCGAACAATTTCAATTTTTAACGGTTTTAAAGTCGATGGATGTGGTTGATTTTTTGGTAAATCACATAATTTTAAATTTTGAAGACCGATTTTTAAAATTTAAAATTTAAAAATTTATAAAATAATTTTAAATAAAAATATACACTTAAAAAATTAAAAAATGCTTGAACGTTGATTTTTTTTGGGTAATCAATAATTTTAGAATTTTGAAGGACGATTTTTTAAAAAAAATTTAAAATTTAAAAATTTATAAAATAATTTTAAATAAAAATATACACTTAAAAAATTAAAAAATGCTTGAATTAAATTTTTTTTTTTTGAAAAGACTTGAACTTAAATTTTTTTTTTTTTAAAAGTCTTTAACTAAATTTACTTTTTTATTTAAAAAGTTGGAACTTAATTAAAAAAAAAGGCTTCAACTTAATTGCCTACGTATTCTCTTAGGGTTTAGAGGAATCAAAGCTCATGTAGTTCTTACTTACCTTGTACCGATTTCACCCCTTTTACCTTATTCACTATTTCCACCTCTGGTTGATGTTCCTGATAAGGACCCATTATAAAGATAATATAAATCTTCATTTTTTTTTTAAGGTTTTCTTATGTATTTCGGCCTTATTCCAATCATCTACGCATGATTGTGCTTTTAGTGAATCGAGTGTCATACGAGATTGTGCTTCATCAAGTATATTTTCTCATTGACTACAAGCTTGTTCAATCGCAACAGTGGAGACTAGAGCTGCTAAAACTTGTTTTGCAATTAAAGAAAGTATTGGAATGTATTGGCGTGACAACTCTACCAATCTAAAATTGGAAATTTATTATCTGCATAAGCATCCCCAAACTCGAAAAAAGTGGTTAGATAATTATCAAATTTAGAAAAAGAACCAAATTTCCTTGGTCTTTTTTGTCTTTGTAGTAAAATGTGTTCAGCAACACCAACACTTACCCTTTGAGTTGGAAATTGTTGATTATTAAATTGAGAAGAATTAGAAGTAGATGAAGAATTTAGAAGGTAGATAAGACTAGAAATTGAAACAAAAATTCACCATATCAATTCTACAATATTTTGTCTTAACTTCGTTGCAAATAACTACATTTATATTAACACATATCTTTGTATCAAAGATTTTAATAATTCATGATTAAAATAGTCAAGATATTTCAGATAAAACTTCAATTTACCATCTAATGATCATACACAAGCAAACACAGATAAAGGAGTGTTATTTTCTAAAATAAGATAACCATTTTTTATTTGAAAAAGCAACAATCTGTGTAATATTAAATTATTTTCCAAATTCTTTGGAGTGCACTGACAATATAATGCATATAGGCAAAAATAAATTGTGAGATGTGGATAAATAAACCCCACTAAAATTTATAGGTAACATCATTTTAAAAATTTTAAATATCTTAGAAATTTTGCAACAAAAATATCCCAATTTTGTGTATATATAAATTTAATTTTTTCAATATTGTTAGATAACAAAAAATGCACATAATTCTTTTATACGAAAAAAGGAACTCGTTAATATATCATATGTTGGAATTCCAATGAGCTGGGACAACCCTTAAAACGTTTTGGTCTTTTATTTTTTTCCTTATAAATTTAGCCCAACTTTTCATCACTGGGATGTCCCATAATATGAAATAGCTTTTTCTAATTTGGAAATATAAGATTTCAAAAACTTAAACCATCTTGTACACATAAATTTAAAACATTGGCAAGCCGATCTTATTATTGAAAAAATTTTTCCACCAATATTTGGTTCTACAATATTTTAAGTCAATAAATTGATAGTGTTTAGCAGAAGCATTATCAAATGAAATTGAAAAAAAAATTTTTTTGTCAACTTATATCATCTAAAATTGAAACATATTATTCTTATATATTATTGCAGATGTTTATCATCAAAATCACGAAAATGCAATTAATTTCTTTTTGAAATTCCAATTCATCATCAATCCAATGACATGTAATGTTCATATAGAATGCCATTTGCCAACGATCATTCCAAAAATATCACAATTTTTAAAAAATTGAAAACACGATTTTCATTTCAGAAAATAAAAGCTCTTACTTCATTTTTTTCCTTTTTATATTTAAAGAAATAATTAATTTCGTTTTACAGGTATTTCTTAGGCACTCTTTTAGCAAAATTGATTTAAAGCTTTTGATAATATTGGATTAAAGCCCTACCTTTTTCACCAAAAAACTAAAAGATTAAATGTTCCATAGAAATTCATATTTGCTGAATTTTCTTTTTGTTGTTTTTTTCAGGACATATTGAAATAAAGAAATGTAGAAGATGCGTATCTGGAAAATTTGTGTTTGAGTGACTGATCAGTCCTATTTTGTTAGATGTTTTGTCTTCCAATATGCTTCCAAAATGATTCCGATAACCGCCCGATTTGTTTGAATTTATATAAAGATTTCTCATAATTTGCAAATTACATCGATTATTTTGTCACCTTTTGAAATTTTCTTCGTGAAATGAATTGGCGAATATATCGAAAATTTGTCTTTGCTCTGCGAAAGGAAGTGCGTAATACTGTTGCTCTTCCCTTCCTCTGTTGTAATTGCTCATCATTAATTTTCAGATTCTTGAGTTGGAATTTTCAAATTTCATTTGGAATATTCTCTTAAGATTATATTAGTCGGGATTGAAATTCGAAGAATGTTGTTTAATAGGGAAAGATGAATATTGTGTTACTCCATCTTTCCCTGTGCCCTTAGCGGATCTTGAGTTTCCTCCACTTGTCATTATATGAAAAAATAATATGTAAATTTGGGAAAAATTTGAATAAAAAAAAATTAGAGAGGAATAATTAGAGATTGGAATTTGTAAAGAAATTAATTCACAATTATTTTTGGGACAATAAATTATTATGGAATTGAAAAATTAGAGAGATTGTATAATTAGAGAAGAATATATAGAGTTTAGAGAGAGTAGAGATTTAATTTGTGTGAGGAGATTATAAATGGAATCAGGTATTATAATTAAATCCAAAAAAATTCATTTTCCAACAAATACCCTTGAACTAGCCATTTATAGTTGTTAGGGAGGGGTAAGTTGGGGATTTCACAAAAAATTTTTTTTTTAAAAAATAAGCTGCTAGCCTGCTGGAACCGACGCTTCGAGCCGTTACAAAAATAATTCAATATTTGGTTCGAACCACCGGTTTGAATTTCATACGTCTAACCGCCAAAAAACCGGTGGTTCCATTCAGTTCCGACAGGTGTCTTTGGACCGCCGGTTCGCAGTTCCAAAAATTGGAACCAAAATCGGAAACCGTAAGGCCTCCGGTTTCGATTTCCAGTTTGGACCGGGTCCAATTTCGATTCGGACAGATTTCGGGATTCCAGTTCGGCCCGGTTTCTCTGGGAACCGTAATTTGGCCATGTCTACCACATTGGGTCAATTCCTTTCTTCTTTTTAATAGGCTCTTATTTTAGTTTACTCTTTCTCAAGCAGTTTTTTTGAATTAGGGAAAATCTTTCGATGTTTAGAATTTCTCTCTTTCAAATGAGATTTTCTATTGTCTTCTTCAATTTTCTTCTTTCGCATTCGGCTTAATTATTTATCTTTTTTTCTTCCTAAAAACCTTGGATAGATCGAAATAACACTGCAGGCATACAATAGGGGTAACCATCGTTGGACTCACTAATTGTGAAAACACTTGTGGTCGAGAGAACTTAAACTCGAAGAAACCTCCACTCCTCACATTAAGTGAGAAGACCAACTAGATCACCACCTGATTGGCAATTAATTTATCTTTAACAATAGGGATTATTTCAATTGGCCCTTTTAATTGAAGTTAATAGTCTTTATAGGGGGTCTCTTCTTGGTTGATAGTAAAGGCTGTAAAGCATTTTGCCTTCTTGCAAGTACCCCACCACTATATAAGTTTTCTTCCTATATCTATACAAATTAGCCTTTTAATTTCCTAAGCCATACTACTTTTCATCCTTTAAAAGCAGAGAAAGAAACCCTTGCACGTGTCAAAATTTGGAAAAGCAGAAATTGATTTTAGGCTTCATGAGAATTTCCTCCTCTTGAAGATCAGTTTATTTAAAGCAAGACTACTTTCTTTCATGTTCCTTGAAATAGACTAAGACAAAAACGCACACAATTAGGAGAAAGTAATGCGATCTTTAAATCCAAGCAAGCCAAGTTATCTTAACCCTTGACATTCTTAAGCCCCAAAATAATAGTCTAACTTGAATCGGAGCCATTTACCAAAGATATTCTAATACCGTAAATTCCCATATGTGGGGCATACTCCAATTAGTTATCCAAGAAGCATGTAAGACCCTAAACAAGGGCAAAATACCTTTTTAAACTGGGGTTAAAACCCTAATACTTGATGTCATCTTTTTGAGTTTTCTCCAAGCTTTTAATACCCCATCAGTGTTATCAAATATATCACTAGGTCTAGTTGAGTAAAAAATATTAGTTGCATCCCTGTCATGGATGACCACATTCTTTAGTTAGAGTGGTAAAGACAATTAAACCTGTGATAGCCACATTGTTTAAGACAATTTCCATCCAGCATATCACCATTGCATGCATTCATTCAAATCATTTGCATTTCATGCACTTTGCATTCGTGCTTAGCATACTTTGGCAAAGAAGTTTCATTCATGCATTAGCATGGAAAACTGTACATCTATACATACAATAACATTCATTCATCCTGCCACACTATTCTGCTAACAAAAGGTGCAGGTACAAACATAGTAAGGAAAACAAACAACTTGTCTCCTATTATGTCAGTTGCCTCTCCATTGACAAGTTCTCTATTTCCGTCGAAGTCAAGGTTGTTGCCTCCCTCAGCATCTTTCTCTGCTTACTACTTATTTGATAGTACCAAAATACTTAAGCATAACAGTCATACTATATCTAATTATCATAAGTACGTCGAGCCAGTCCATGGAGAATAAACTCTT